TATTAAATAATAAAAATTAAAATTAAATCAAATCAAAATAATCAAAACAAGAAATGAAAATATGAATCAAATGAAAATAAATAAAATAGAAAAATAAGAAATAAAGAAATAATAAGAATAAAGAAGAAGAATAAGAAAGAAAAGAAATATAAATAATATTAATAATAAAATAAAATAAGAAATGAAAAATATAATAATAATGATAAATAATAAAAATATGAAAGAATAAAGATAATAATAATATAAAATGATGATATTAAAGAAATTATTAAAATATAAAATAAAGATAAAAGAAATTATTAAAATATAAAATAAATTCATTTTAATATAATTCATTTAAATAATTAAACAATAAAATTATTTTATAATATTGAAATATTTCATAAATATAATAAGAAAGAACAAATAAAAGAATATAGAAAAATAAATAAAAGAATAATAAATAATAAAATAAAATAATCAATATATTAAAAAGAAAAAAAGATAATAAATAATACATATAAATAAAAATCATAAAAATAAAAATGAATAAAATAATTTCATAAATAAAGTAATGTTAAATAATTTGCATCAATAAATTAAACGCTTTTTTTTATTTCATATTTCTAATTTCTATAATAAAAAATATATCCATTATTTCATCATTATTTTCATCTTTTATTATCTCTTTTTGAATTATTCTTTTTTATCTTCTTTCTTTTTATATTCTCAACATTCTACTTTTATTCTTTTCATCTTCTTCTACTTCTTAATTTCACTTTTTCTTTTATATCATTCTTTTTCATCATTTTTCTCTTATTTCCTTTTTTTCGTTGCCTATTTATTCTATAAATATTATTTATTAATTAATTTATATAATTGTATTTATAATTTTTTCGTTACTTTGAAGATTAATCTCATAATATCTATATCTCATTCAAATAAATATCTTTATTTATAATACAAATATACTTAGTATTATCTTTATTATTCTTTATTATTTCTTTGTTCATTTCTCTTTTAATTATTAATTTAGTATTAAATTAAATATTTTCTTTATTCACAAAATATTCTTTAAATATATCAATACTTCTATTATCTTTTATTTTCTATTTTTATAAACTTTATTTATTTTTTAAATACGTATTTCTCTACTTCATTACTATTATTATTATTTTTACTTTATATCATTTTAAATAATACTTCATTCATTCTATTTTAATCTTTCTTATTACTTATTCTTTGTTCGTTATTTTTTAATATTATTATTCCTTCATTTTTATTCTCATATCTTATTGTTTGTTAATCATTATTTTATATCAATTTCTTTATTAGTTGTTTGTTAATTATTTCTTTTTATTTTATAATTTTATATGTTCTTAAATCTTTAAATTTTCTTTTATTTTGTTTATTCATATTTATACAATATTATTCCTATTTATTATTTACTCTTTTATTACTTTTTATTTTAATTATTTTATATATTCTTCTATTTATTTTCTTTATTATTTATATATCTTTTAATTTTAATCATTTTATTTATATGACTTTCTATATTTATTTTGAATCATTATTTTATCATTTTTGATATTTTATTCTATTTCTTTATCGTTTATATTATCTATTTTTCCTTTTCTACTTTCCTTTTAATTTTTTATTTCTATTCTCTCTGTTTCTTCTGTATAATACTTTATTATTCTATTCTTTTCACTTTGCATATCTCTCTTTTAATTTATTTCTTCTTTAAACATTAACTTTCTTTTATCTCTCTTTCAATTTATTCAACTTCTTTTATCCATCTTATTCATTCTTTATTCTTTATATTTTCTTTTATTTTCTCTTTTTCTGTATTTCCTCTTACTCTTTCTTCATTTCTCCATTCTTGTATTTAACTTCCTCATTTCTAATCATCACCATTCCCTTTTCATTTCATTTTATTCATTCTTTCTCTTTTTTATTTAACATTCTTTAATTCTTTTGTCTTACTTCTTGCCTCATGAACTTTATCTTCTTTTCCTTTTTTTGGACAAAACCTAATTAATGTTGCTAAGAAAAACCAATTAGTAATAGCACAACTATTTGTTAAATACTAGGATTGAAGAGAATTGATGATACGCAAATTCAAAACTCTCATACAGTTCTTTTGGGTCAATGCATAAATTACTATCAACAGCAAAACTAACAAAAAGATCACCCCCACTTCCAATAAAACTAACACCATTGCCAGTTGTTCCCAAGTGAGGAACAAAACCAATAAAATCTTCAATTTCAGAACCAAAAAATTTCACTTTTTCTTGTGGACCTGGTAATGAGGTTACATTTAATGTAGCCTTTTGTGATACAATTTTAATACCTATTGACTCTATCCAATCAGGAAGCATTCCAACAAGACATTGGAGAAGATAATAAGAATAAGACTCAACACTTTCCTTTGCATTGTCTAATTGTTTTTTCATATATTTGACAAGGGAGTATAAGTCTGTTTCTTGTAATGGTAATTTCATTAATAATAATCCAATTTTATTCCCCAGTTTGATTTGAGGTTCAAAAGGTCTTAGATTGGTTGCGATATAGAATTGTAATTGTTTACTTGAACTTCCCTTTCTTTTTAATATGTTAGAATAACTGAGATTCATACAAGAGAATAACAATGAATTTAACGTACCATCGTAACACCTTGCAATGGATTTAATATTTTCAATTGAATCAAGTTTCTTCCAGAATACTAATTGTTTTCCACTCAATGGTTTCCTTAGTTCTTTTGTAAAATCACCTCTCACAAAAAAGGATTTAACCATATAATAAGGGATTATTAAAACTTTCCAAAATCTTTTAAAAATTGTTATTGGTTGTTGTTTATCTGCTAAACATGATAATTTAGGAACTTCTTTAGTTATATCCAAAATGTGATAATTTGATTCTTCATTAAAAATAATCGAAGATATATGTTGTGTAGAGTCTTTCAATAATCTCATTGCAGCCATTCCATCACAGTAACAATGAGAAACTCTTGCTAGAATTCTCCATTCATTCATTACATTAGTATAAAAGTATATTTTCCATTGAGGTTTATCAGTATCTAATGGAACTGATTTATGTTTTTCTAATATGTTTATATATTGTTCATATGAACCAAATACAGTATTATCAATGGTGATATGATCATCAATATTTATTGGAACAGATTCTAGTATATAATAACTATTCAACTTAACAATTCTTTGACAAAATCTTTTGTGTTTAGTAAATTCTAGAAAAAGTAATTGTTTAGCATTTTTCCAATCAATCTGTCCTTTTCCACCAATACTTGCAGTGATCACCATTGGATTCTCTGGTGTAGTCAATCTGTACCAACAAACATCAACCAAATCCATAAATTCTTTACCTTCACCAAGGTTAGGTTTATTAAGAATAAATAATAAGAATTCAGTTAAAAATGGAAAAAATATAGATAAGAGTGTATAGAATGGGTTTCTTCTAAAGATCAAAGATAAGACATAGGTTAGAAGTATATTAATCAAGTAAGCAATAATAAATGAAATGATAAAAAATCCCATCTCAAGAATAAGTGACCCCTTGTTTTTTTTAGTTTAGATCATCACTTTTCCACAGAAATAGACTAATTAACTATTTTACTAGGAAAACGTTCAAACTAATTTGACAAAAGTCTCATCAATATTCTTTTTAATCGATTAATATTCTTTTCTATGTTCGTTTTTGCAATAAGAGTCATCGATCTCTATTTCTATTCTTAAATTGTTGATATTAAGAAAATATAATTTCAATCCATTATTGTTATTATTGTTATAAATAACAGATATAAAAGAAAACTGAATAAATAAAACTAAAAAATAAGTAAAAAGAAAGAAGAGATGATAATATATTATATAATTTATATTATAAGTTTAGTTTTTGCTATTGATGACAATGACTTTATTTTAGAAGAAAAGGTAAATGAAGAGTACCAATTTTATGATGACTTTGACTATGATTTTGATGATGAAAATGAATTGGAATAGAGAATGAAACTAATAAAAGAGAGTATTAAATTGGTTTCCTTGAAGTATAAGAAAATGTTTTGGAATAAAAGTAGATACCAAATTTGGTTTACCTAATAAATCATCAGGGGAATAGATATAAAAATAATTATTAATTAAAGGAAAGATAAAACCTTTTAAAATGTTTAAAGGTTTAAGCAAATTAATGCAATAACTATTCCAAAATACAATTTTAAAATGAGATTCATTGTATTTAAAAATAAACAATTCTGTTATGATTTTGAAAGAAATTTTAATGGATTATTAGGAGAGTTATGGTTATTTAAACTAAAAAGGAAAATATTTTCATCAGATTTTCCAATCCATTCAGAGAATTGATTTAGCTGTTGGGTGGTTCTTTTAGTTAGTATTTGAGAATGATAAGTACCAAATAAATCATTTTCATCTGTTTGAATTAACAGAACAACATTATTTTTTTTTTCATATAATATTCTTTGAATTTGTTGAATAGTAAATGCTTCAAAACAGTTGTCGTAAGTGATTTGAAGTTGAGTACAATTAGTCAATTGACTTAATGATTCTATAAAAATAAATTCAAAATAAAAGAACTAGATAAACTTTTTAAATTTTATAATAAAATCTAATTTAAAATTAATAACAAAAATATTTAAAGAAACATTCAAATCATTTAATTCTTTTTAATTATTAATTTAGAAGAATCTATATCATCTAGTAGTGTTGGATATTCAGAATTTTGCATTAATATTGAAGGAATAGGCGGACTTTGGATTCTTTCAATAACAATTTCAGATTCATAATCAATAGTGATATGATTAACTTTTTCAATAAATTCATTTAAAATTGTATTAATTTCATTAAATAATTCATTTAATGATTCATAACTTTTTTGAAATAAACTTTTTAATGGAAGATGTTTTTGTTTTAATTTTTTATCGTCTTCATTTAATAAATTACATTGTTCTTTAATAAAGTCAATCACCCCACTTTCATCAAAAATTTTTTGAATAGCAATTTTAGTTTTTTCAATACTTTCTTTAAAAATTTCTTGTTCAAATCTATTTTTTTGTTTTTCTTCTTCTATTGAATCTTTCATTTTTTTCATTATTTTTTCTTCATTTCCATTATCTTTTTGTATTTCAATTTCTAATTCTTTTTTTACTTCTTCAATTTTTTCTTGAATTTTTTGGTCAAATATTTCCATACATTCATCCATTTTAATTTCATTTTCAATAGGAAAATATTCACTATTTTTTTCTTTAATAGAATTACTAATAATTGTTTGATATTTTTGAATAATTAATTCTATTTCTTTATTCATTTCTGGTATTAATTCTTTTATTTCTTTTTTGATTTCTTCTTTATTTCTTTGAATTTGAAAAATTTCTTTTTCTTTTACTTTTTCTTTTTCATTCAGTTCTTCTTCCATTTCTTTTTTTTGTTGTTGAATAAATTGAATAAGTAATTGAAATTGTTCAATAATTTTATCTTCAACTGGACTCCATCTACTTTTTCCTTGCTCTAGCCTATTAATTATTTGATTTATAAGAATTTCAAAATCATTAATTTCCTTTTGGTTTTCTTCTAATACTTCTTCTATTATTTTTATTGTTTTTTTCCCATCATATTTAAATGAAATAATTACTTTGTTTAACATTTCATTAATTTCATTCATTGACGAATATTTTGGAAGTTCTACTTTTCTACATTCTTCTCCTTCTAAATGGTTGTTTATTTCTTTCATTAATTCAATAATTTTTTCTTCTCCTTCATCATATTTTTTTTTAAATTCATCAATATCTATTCTACATTCATTAATACTTTTTTCAATATATTCTTTTTGTCTTTGTGCTTCCTCAACTTGTTTTTGAATCATATCTTCTATTTGTTTATTATGTTCTTCAATTTTTTTAGCTAAATCAATCATTTCTGTAATTTTGTCTCTAAGTTCTAATTCAGTTCTTTTCTTTTTTGTAATATATTCATTTGCTATTAAAATCTTTTGATTAATTTTATTGTATTCTGGTTCTGATTCTTTTCTAACTCTTTGAATTAAACTACCAATTTGAACATTGGTGTATCTTTGATTTTGAATTTCTTGTTGAAGTTTTTTAGCTTCCAATGCTTCTTTAGAAATAACGTTTTTTCGAAGAAGATCAGAATATTGATAATTTAATTGTTTTATTTCTTCATCTAAATAATTATCATAAACTGATTTTAATATATGTCTTGAATATATTGGAACATTCTTAATAGTTTTTAATTTATTTAAAAACTTTAATGTCTGAATAGTTTCTTGTTGATTTATTGATGAAATACATCCAATTGCTATTAAAAATCCTTGTCCACCTAATACCTCTTGTAAAATACGTGTAATATCATTATTCTTTGTAGATAACCTCATTCTTTGTTCTCTAGTTGATTCAACATAACAATTTAATCCATTAAGTAAACTACCTTTATGATTACTTTGTTCCCAACAACATGGAAGATCAATAAATGTAATTCTTCCACAATCAATATATTCTTTTTGTCCTCTTTTTTCTTCTTCTGATGAAATTACTGAAGCTGAAAATACTCTACAAACATTTTGAAGTTTTTCTATTTCATTCTTTTTTCTCTCTTTTCGAAGAACATTTAACTTAGAAAAGACTTGTGATGTAGTACTTTCTGTTACTGTTAGTTCTGTTGCACAGAGAAACATAACTCCTCCAAGTTGGTTTTTAAATTTCTTTGTTGGTTCTTTCAGTAAAACATTGCTCTCACCTTCACATAACAAATCACTAATCTTTTTATCTTCAATTTGAATATAACTCACTCGAATTGTATATCTTCCTTTTGTTTTTAATTCTTCAATAAGTGCATTAATTGATCGTGGGATCAACCCAGCATTAGTAAAATCAATAGTATTAAAATGCCCTTCTAAACTAAATGTTTTTCCAGACTTTTTTCCTCCATAACACATAACATAAAGATCAGTCCCTTCAATGACTCTTTTAATCATCTTACTTACTGTATCTTTGAAGAATGTTTCTTGATCTTTTCCTTTCATAATTGCATCAATATTATATTCCGTCTTTTCATTACTCAAATCTCCTTCAAAAGTATTTGTTGTTCTTATCACTGTTTGCATTAATTATCACTTTCTTTCTTTAGTCTTTTTTTTATGATTTTTTTTAGATTTTGTATGATTTTCTTTTCTTAATCACAAAATTTTAAATAAAAAGTGTTATTCTTTCTAACTTTAAATTCTTTAAAAACTATAAATAGAATATATCAAAATTTTAAATAAAAAAATGTTATTCTTACTTTTTCTTTTATTTCTAATCTCCTTTTTATGACAATCTAAAAGTAATTTGATTAATAATGAAAAACTTAAGAACAAAGCAAATATCTTTAGGTCTTGTTGTTTTTAATTATAATTAGTCTCTTCAAATAAAGTACAATGAAATTATTATAAATTATAAATTATAGAATAGTTTTAGAGATAATTAATAATAATAGAGAAACTTTTTAATTACTTCAACTTGAATAACAAAATAATTAAATAAAAAATAAGTATTAAACTCTTATAAATTTAAATATCTTTAAATTTATTAGTAAAAAAAGGTTACACTGACTCAACTCTTCAAACAAAAGATAACTTATTCTTCGAAGGTAGTTATGGAATATACTAAGACATTCATAATATAACAATAATAAAAAACTAAAAATATTGGAAGAACTTATACAATAACTTATAAAGTAAGAAATAAAATAAATACAAATAAAATTTACTAAGTTTACTCAATAAAAAAAATATAAGAAAAATTAAAATAAAAAAAAATTTATTTTATAAAATTAATAACGTAGTAAGTTAAAAAGGTTAAATAGTAAAACAATTAAAATATTAGAGACATCCTGTATATAATCTACTTGTATCAACACTTGACATTCCCTTAGATGATGGCGTTCTTTTAAAGGTTACTGCACGTGTTCCAGTACAAGGGACTGGTGGCATCAATTGAATCTTACGTTGATTTTTATTTTTTAATGAAGCAGGTGTGGCTGAATTACTTTCAGACTCTGTAACTGACTCTGTAACTGAATCGTCTCTACTTAAAGTATTACCTTTAGTATGACTCATATAGTCCATAATTTTAACTGCATCTCCTCTTGTTTCTGGGTGTTTAATTCTTGGAGTCATCATAGCATCTAAATCATATGATGGAACTTCAGCTAACACACATTCACCAACACCATCTTCAATTTTAGTTTCTAATTTCTTTACTCTAGCAATTTCATTTCTTAGTACTCTAACAATATGTCCTATTTTTCTTCCTTCTTCAGTTAACGCTGAAATAACTTCATCATCAGCATCACTTTGGTCTGTATATTCATTAAAATTACGTTTAAATTCTTTTTGCATTTCAACTGCTTTATTAAAGAAAGCTTCATCACATTGTAATTGATGTCTTATTTGTAATGATCCATTTCTTAATAAGTTACTTTTCTTTAGTGGTTCTTTACACAACTCATGGAAATCACTCATTTCTTGAAGT